GGACATTTGTGTACCAGACAATTGCGTCCCTGGACATTTACGTCACGGACATTTAGGTACCAGACAATTGCGTTCCTGGATATTTGCGTCACCGACATTTAGGTACCAGACAATTGCGTCCCTGGATATTTGCGTCACGGACATTTAGGTACCCGACAACTGCGTCCCTTGATATTTGCGTCACGGACATTTAAGTACCAGACAATTGCGTCCCTGGATATTTGCGTCACGGACATTTAGGTACCAGACAATTGCGTCCCTAGATATTTGCGTACCAGACAATTGCGTCCCTGGACATTTGAGTCCATAGACATTTGCGTCCAGAACAATTGCATCCCTGGACATTTGCGTCGAGGATATTTGCGTACGAGACAATTGCGTCCATGGACATTTGCGTCCCGGACATTAGCATACAAGAGCATCACCTCCATGGAGATTTGAATCCCTAGACAAATGCCTACCTTTGATAATTTTTTGAAGTTAACTTTTTTTTAAAGACTTGTTTAATATCGAAATTTGCACAGCAGTTATCATTAATTACTCGAAACAATCAGAAAGGTAATAATTATAAATAAAAAAGAGAAAAAATTCTTTTTTAAAGCAAGATAATATTAAGGTAGCAATTTCCTTTTATACCAGCAGTGGGTACCACAAAGCTGCATTTAATAGATTCTGGATTTTATAGACTATATTTTTATTTAAAAACCATGGCTAAGGTTAGAAAAGTCAAACACTGGTGGAAAAATTTTTATAGACGAAGAAAATTACAGCTATCACTATCATAAGTAAAACAGCGATGAAACAAAAACTACCAGAGATGTGCAAAGCGATCTTGCAACATTGTTAATTTGTCATTGCATTCTAAACAAAAATGAACTTTAAATTTTTTATTTTATTCCTTTATAAAAAAAATATAATTACTACCTATGCTTTTCTCAAAATTATATGAGAATTTCCTCTAAAAGCTTCAAAAAGTTATCAGAGCTACGCAGTTATCGAAGGACGCATTTGACAAGCGACGCAAATGTCCAGGTACGCAATTGTCTGGTACACAACTGTCTTAGAACCAAATTTGAATAAGTGAATAAGTGCTTTGCCGGTTGAAACTGATTTCTCCTCAACATGGTTCAAGTCGACACAGTACCAGGCTAATTAATTAATCGAAATAGCGCTCTCTGACTCTTGCTTATCTAGAATCAGGCCTTATCTAGCTATCGTTTCTAAATTTTAATTAGAATGATTGAAAAACTAAAGGCCGTAACTTCAACAAACACATTACCTTAATTAACGTGAAGCTTCAATCTGCGCATTTAGTCAAACCCTATTAGAGCGGACGTTCTCCCAACATAAAATCTCTATAAAACACAATTTGAAAACTTAATGAAGTTTTTCCAGTGCACAATTTAAACGTTATTTTCTATATACGCTTGACATACACAATCTCTCTCCTTAAATACTCAGCTTTAATATTTACTGCTATATTACGATCAAACACGTGATGTCCGCAGGAGTTTCTGCTATGGTCCGACGTCGTCATATGAAACAACTATATAAAAACGATTGTTTATCACTGAACAATTCAAGCGTGAAACCTGAGAACAAATAATATAACCTTTATGTTGTGGTTCATTTTTTCAAAGGTATTACATTGTATTGAATTATATTCAACTCTTTGAAGACAATAAAAAAAATCTTAAGTCTACTCTTATTCAATTCACGATGAAGACAAAGGTAGCTATATCAAGCCCATGTGTAAATTTAACATTCCAATTCCAGTTTATAATTTCCTAGAATATATCTATTATTAGAGGCTGTTCCATTCGGTTAACTCATCTCGTATGCTATCCTCATAAAGATTCTTCTTTTGTACCCTAAGGCTTTCTAGGGGTGATTTTTTGTTTATTTTTCTTCTTTTTTTATCGTACTCAGTAATCTTCTTTGAATTGAGTAAGATTTTTTTTTCTGTCAACGAATATTTATTGGTTGCCATTCTGCTTTTAATGCCTACATGATACTTCTTATTAGACTAATCGCGTAAGTATTTATTGTTTATTTCTGTGAAACCAAATTATCTAACGTCCTGGGTATAACGCTAAACTACATCCAACAGCAAGGCTGATCGGGAGGTTTTGAGAAGTATAGAAACACCTCTTAATGGCTGTTGTTCCCAGGTGACAGCACCGGTTAGGGTCCCATCTATGGGTAATAGTTAACTCCACCAAACTGGATCAAAATATTTTGGAAAGTCTAAAAATACATTTTCATAGTACAAAATATTACCAACAACATATTTTTGAAAGAGAAAATGTTAACAGCAATACATCTTTTGAAAAAAAAAAAAAAAAAAAATTACCAGCAATAAAATTTTGTAAATAAGCAAAAATATTACCAGCAATACATTTTTGTAAAATAAATTACTAATGCTTCCCACAAAATTCAATTCCAGCAATAAAGTTGTCGTTTTTAACGAAACTTGTATAAAGAGGGATTGCTTCCCAAATACACACACACACACAAGAAAACACACACACATATGGTGCGATGGATAAATTGTCGTCTAAATTACGCAAAAATGAATAAATACTGATGTGTCATTTATATATATATATCTATATATATATATATATATATAGAGAGAGAGAGAGAGAGAGACAGACAGACAGACAGACAGACAGACAGACAGACGGAGATAGAGAGACAGAGATAGAGATAGATTAATAATAACTATACATATTTCTTCACCATTTTGTACAACTCTGAGATTCATGCACGAGGCGCGGGTTCAAAACTGACTGTTGTATAATGTAAACATGAATATTTATAAACTACTGTTATGATAGCTTAACTGTCCATTTATTTTTTAAACATATACATATATCTAAGAAAAGGATTTTACGTATAAAAACGCAATATATATATATATATATATGTGTGTGTGTGTGTATAATTTTGAGGCAAAGAGCTTTCTGTTAAACTAAGGTTGGCTTAGTAATGGATTTTACATAAAAATGCAAATTATATATATATATATATATATATATATATATATATATATATATATATATATATATATATATATATATATAAGTGATCAAAGTCAACACTCACAATCACCCCTGAGTGTTGACTTTAATATTCACTTTATAGTCTTGTTTAGATATACATCTCTGATAATAAGCACTTGATCCCATAAATATAGCACACTTTAAAAACTGTATTTCTTTATATATATATATATATATATATATATATATATATATATATATATTTTTGAGGTATAGATCTTTCTGTTATACTATGGTTGGGTTTGTATAAGTCTATAGATGTATAGAAAAATTATGACTATATAAACGTGACAATTGTTTTTGGTTCTGTTACTGAAGTTCATTCAACCCGAATATTGCATGAATTTTTATATTTCCTATGCTTAAAAAACAAAAAGCAAAAAAAAATGCAATTCTTTATGAATTGTTAGATCTTGTTTCTGTGGCTGCGTGTTTACGTGACTCATCTTCACAGCTAAGTGCTTTTTCAAATGAAAAGCCATTTTAAAAAGAATAACATTAGATGAAACAATATGAGGATAAGTTCTGAGTTGAATGTTTTTCGTTTTTTTTACTTTAGATGTAAAAATGTTAGTAAAGATAGAAGAATCGACGGTTTCAATTTCCCCAACATCAAGCTGATAACGGCCATCTCACGTAAAACCATCACTTCACCGATGTTAAGCAAATGGCCACATCTTGGGGATACCAGATATTGTCAGTTTTGGATGTGCAGTTGGTCGAATAGATAACGGCATGGAGTTGGAAATCCCGGAGCCGTGTTCTAATTTCAGTTGGGTTCGTTATTTTTCTTTATGCGCAATTATACTTGAGAAGGCATGAATCCACCAATTCTACACCTGACATAGTTTAATTAGTAGGACCTGAATCAGTACAATCAAGATTATATAAAAAAAAAAAAACATTTTACAGTCTAAAAAGATTTTCTGACCTTAAACAGCCTAAAATTGGTTGATAAGCCGTAAAAAATATAATCAGTCAATGAATAAACGCATCCAACCTCACGAAATCGGAGAAGCAGATTATGTATGATGTAATATGTAAAGAAGTTGTGTAGCTATGTTAATGTTGCTGTAGAAGTCATTCGATATAGACTGCATTTCGAATTGTTTGATTGTAATACTTATTGAGAACTATAGCGACATCTTTCAACAATATGACAAATCCGTAAGTATTTTCTATGGCAATACAAATATATTTATCTCGAATAGACAACAGGGGTACGGTAAAATGTCTTGTCAGAAGAGATTATGCCAGGAGGAAACTCTCGATGTCTCACAAGGCAGTTCCCTATACGCAAGCTACGACTCAGTTAATTGGGTGTCATGTCACTAGCGTTTACCGCTGGTGGATCGCTGTCGAACCGCCGGCGTGTTGCCCTCGGCAATATTACCACTGGCAGGCAGCTAGTGCCGGTGGCTCTCAGCAGAGGACCGCCGGCGTTGCCATCGAAGAACGGCCAGCGGGCCACTAGCGGGTTGAGTGTAGGGGTAATCCAGCAACGTTTGGAAAAATTGCATAAAGTCTCGCACAAGATCAATGATAGCGCGGCTCTACATAGAGAAATTTGGAAATTAAAGGATTAATACGTTTTCTCCGGCTTATCTGCCCTTTGTAGGTTATTTAAAGCTAGAACATATTTTTAGATTCTAAGAATTTTTTTTTTTGGAGATAAAAATGGTAGTGTCTTACTAGATAATTGCTGGGTGGAGAGTGAAAAGTTAGATTCATAACTTTTTTTAAGAGGATTTGCTCGGAAATGAATATAATAAACTGAAATAAGCCATTATCCATTACACCACCCGCACAGACAAGCTTAGACCACCTGGTAAACCCAAGCGGTCATCTATCTAGATACTTCTCAGGCTCGCAGTTGCTTAACTTTGGTGATCAAGCATGAGACATTGTTTCAACGTGTTGTGGCGTAAGCTTAAACTAGGCCAGATAGAAGCAGGCGAAAATAGACTGCAAGAGTGAAAGATAGATAGATAGATAGATAGATAGATAGATAGATAGATAGATAGATAGGAAGGAAGGAAGGAAGGAAGGAAGGAAGGAAGGACGAAAAAATTTAGGTGGGGGTCTCAGGTAGATAAAAATATCAGAGAAAGAAATATTAAACAAAGAAAGTATGTATGCGTGATAATTACTAATAGTGGAGCGTTTAACACTTTAAAACGTGATTCATTCAACATTTATAGGTGAGTGACCCCGACTCTCAAAGAATATTCGATAGTTTTTGTCTCGTGGCGAAATATACTAACAAATTATCAACAATATATTCAGCTTTAAACAGAGTTCAGCGTTTTGATATTGACCACATCGAAACTCATCGATATTAATGTATATTTTTCTGCTACGGCAAGACCAACACCATGTCGAACACTAATTAGCGCGGTTTTCTTTGGCAAAAAAAAAAAAATTAAACTGCCTAGTTATTTGCATATGCTGGATCGGTTGAAAGTAATTACCTCTCATGTAGAACATGGTGTCCTCAACAATTTCTATAGCTTTGCAACAAATAAAATAGTGCTGGGAGCTGTTTTGAGCAATTACGAAGCCAATGACAATAAAACGCCAATGCATAGTCTCAGAACGAATAACAAAAGAGAATATGAAAAAAAAAAGAAAGAAATACAAATGATTAATTCAAAATTGATGATAAATAAATAAATAATAAAAATCAGAACATATTACGTTTGTGTTAGTGACATTCGAAAGCGTTTTTATGAACAAGGCATTGATGAAATTTTATAAGTTTTATGAGTGATCACGACATGTGCCTCTCGTTGTTAGGCAATTTGTTATCTTATGATTCTTTTTTTTAAGCTAAAGCAAAAAAGAATATTATTAGAAAACGCAGAAGTAACCCAAGGCAAAATATTAACGCGGGGAAAGATAAAATATTAATAATATACACGTGGATTTCGCCCTTCCCAGGATGGAAAGATGTAAGAGTTCGATAGAAGGTACAGAACAAAACAACAGACATGTTTATCACGAAGACAAACACACTTGGCACATTCTTTAAGTCTGTTTAAACTTCCAATAGAGAGATAAAGAGATGTGGAATAGACAGAGATAGATAGATAGATAGATAGATAGATAGATAGATAGATAGATAGATAATGAAAAGGTTGCCATAGATAGATAGATAGATAGATAGATAGATAGATAGATAGATAGATAATGAAAAGGTTGCCATAGATAGATAGATAGATAGATAGATAGATAGATAGATAGATAGATAGATAGATAGATAGATAGATAGTGTTATGGGGTCACCCCCCTTTGTGATACAAGTGGACTCGACCAGCGTGTTACTTGGACTTCGGTCAGAATAGAGAGAGATATTGGGAGAGTAAGCAGAGAGAGAGAGTAAGGAGAGTAAGTGATTGAGTTGGATGTAGAGTAATAGTGTGAGGTAACCGCTTCTAGAAGTCATTTATAAGCACGTAGACTCTAAGGAAGTCCTACTTCGAGACTGTGTATATATTATTATTACGACTAACAGCGTTCCTGGATTTACTAACAATATACCCATTGTATTATTGTGTAAATACATTTAATTTCTTATTTTTAATTCTTGCGTTTGTCATTCATTGGAGACCGAATTTCATCTCGGAATCCACAACAGATAGATAGATAGATAGATAGATAGATAGATAGATAGATAGATACTAAGTTTAAGTCGTTCTTCTTACGCATGTCTTTTTCTTCTCATCATTTAAATTAGTCGATGCTGCAATCATAAACTGTAGTTTGATTTGAGAACCGAACGAAAAAAAGCATAGAAGGACAAGGGATATTCTGTGAAATAACAGGATCAATAATCTTCTAATCACAAAAATCCTCTATGTATGAAAAATAAAAGTCCATGGAGCAGAAGATCTTCGGAGTAATCCAAAATATAGAAATATCACAGCAGCACAGATAGCGGGGATGGAGCAATAAAGGTTACATGGATGCGTACGCCAAATGAAATATTGCAGTAAAAAAATAAGATGGCGAAACATAATCATATATAGCAGAGATCGTATTATAAGATACATATGTTAAGAAAAGTGTTGCAAGGAAATCACCATCACAAGTGGAAATAACGATAACAGTTACTTGATTTAAGAAACATATTTTACTGAAAAATTGTTTCAAGAGAACGAGTTTATCAATACCAACCGATAATAGCAATGTGGGATAATGTGGGAGCAGTATCCATGGGATATGAGGAAAGCTAAGATACATAACAAGACAAGAAATGGAAAGCAGATCGTAATGGTGGTATATGCTGTTTCCATTCTAAGAGATCAATAACTGTGTTATAGGGAAATATAGGGAAACTGTTATAGGGAAAATGTTATAGGGGAAAATGAACGCCAAAACAAATATGTCAGTAAAGAATAAAAGGGTTAAACAAAAATAATCTACTATGTAACAACAAACCAAACTCTCTAATAATTATATTGGACATATCACATGCCTATCGAATAGACTCACGTTGGACACCTCTGACCATAGCTCCATTTTTATCAGTTTAACTCACAGAGAACCCTACAAAACTCCATCCGCAACATAATTGCAGAACATGCAAATATAATAGTCTCATCCACATGTAAAAAAATAATGCAAGCACTAATAATAGAATGAGCAATCCGACACTTTATATTATCAATTATGAACACGGTCAGTATGTGCTGATCGTGTTTGGAAAATAAGATTCTTATAATTCTAAATACAGCCATAAAAAATTAAAATGAAAACATATATATATCTTTCGTTTGAAATAAAAACAATGAAAATCATCCTCAACAATGTCGAACATAATAGCTGAAAATGGTTAGATATGCGAAACATTTAGACGCTATCACGAAAACACAACACTTATAGAAACAGAAGAAAAATTAAGTAAAAAAAACTTAATCACGGTACATTGAAAGTTGTCTTTAATGAAACTTATATGAAAGAGGGATTGCTGCCCAAATATACAATTTTTTTATGTAACAGCAAGGAGACCCTAGAAATCGGATAGAAGGATTGTTTGTTTCTTTTTATTAATTTGTTTTAGTGCCTTATCAGGTTTTTCTTTTGCAGGTTTTTTAAAGCGAGAAAATATTTTAGATTGGAATATTTTTGGGGGAGTTGATAACAATTTACTGATACAAGTTCTACTAATTAGACCATAGTTGTTTGCGAAGAAAAGAGGTTGATTCTTATATTTCCTATTTTGCGCGAAAGAAAATATAACAATCCCGAATGGACCTGAAATTCGACTTCTTCAATTTCTAATTCCGAGCTGTTAACCCTGACAACACCCGCACATTCAGTCTTCTAGCACATGGTATTCCCAAGCAGTCACCGATCTATGTGCTTAAAGGCTTTATGTTGCTTAACTTCGGTGATCGTACGAGAAAAAAAAAATTAACACGAGTCCGGATTGAAAACTACATTGAATCAATACTTCATCTTTCGCAAGGAAAATTCGTTCTCTGTGTCTCAGCAAAAGGTTTTTCTCTCGCCTGAGTCCATCCTTCACATCTACAAATCAACCATTCGACCTTGCATTGAATACCGTTGTCATATATGGTCCAGTGCCCCCGCTGTTCATCTCGAGGCCCTCGATAAAATCCAGAGTCGGATATGCAATGTGATAGGTCCTGATCTGGCATCTCTTCTACAATCACATTCTCCAAATATTTTCATGGCAATTGCTCTGGCGAGCTATTTTACTGGTACTCCAACTGCATGAATTTAAGCGTGCTGCTAGGTTGGCATCAAGGTCCCACCCTTTCACTGTCGAAACGGCTAAATGTAGCTCTTCTACTCCAACAGCTTTTGCTCTTGCACTTCCCGACAGTGAAGTTTCCTTCCTCTTACTTGATTCCCTAAAAACTATAATCTTCAAATATTCAAATGTAACGTCAATCGACATCTTTTGATGACTTGATCCGGATCCCCTTCCTTCCCTATATCCTTGCCTCAAACACTCCTCTTTAAACTTGCTCTCTGTAACCCCTTGTGTGCTAGTGGCACTTCCGCCTTGTTAGTGGTGAAATGCTTAAAAATAAAGAAAGAGAAATCTGTTAAGAAAACCATATAATGAAAATTCGAAAGAATATCCATGACAAATGCGAAAAGCCAATTTAGATTGAAATACCATAAAATGGAAAGCAAATCTTAATGATAATTTTAGCCCTTTCCATATAATCTGTTAAGGAAACCGTAGAATTAAATTTAGGGAGAATATCCTTGACAAATTAGAAAAGCTAGAAACATTCGAAGACAATAAAATGGAATGCAAATCTTAAAGATAATTTAAGCCGTTTCCATATAATCTGTTAAAAAACCGTAGAATGAATTCTGTTAAGAAAGCCGTAGAATGAAATTTGGGAAGAATGTCTATGACAAATGCACAGAGCCAAAATATTTTGGAAGACAATAAAATAGAAAGCAAATCTTAATGATAATTTTAGCCGTGTCTATATAATGAAACGTTCGGTATGCATTGTCATGAGTAGACATATCGTTTGAAATTCCTAAAAAACTTTGTATTAAAACAATTTTCCAGGAAAACTGATATCTCATCATTACAAAATATTAAAGCGTTTTCCAATATTGATAAGGATTTCCTTCCTAACTTATTATTTAATGTAATTTTGAACGTCCACATCATGGTTGTGTCATTATTTTCTTTTCAATTTACATACACTATCCATTTTGTGTCTGTTGATGAAAATCATCAAGTAATATAATGGTTGTGATAATATCAACCCTTTGAGCCCTGCGTTCCTCGACAATTTTAACCCCTCTGCCCGAACTCCTGAGTCAAAATTCGCAAATAAATGGTATTCACGGTGTAGTAATGGATAGCGGCTCGGATTGAGGAATCGGAGAGCCGAGTTCGAATTCCAGTCGAATCCATTACATTCACTTACTTGCTTATACCCTTAGGAAAGGTATTAATCATCTTCTCCCAGCTATGGGTAAATAGCAGGAGAAATCTGTTTCTATAACTTTGGATGGTAACTGATTGACGGCAGAAAAAATGGCAACCTACTGCGGGGAAAAAATCTGCCTCGTCATTCATGTATCGAAAGATACCTGATCGCCTACGCGTGTATCACGCATGACACATAACGGACTGAATATTTCACGGTAAATACAAAAATAGTTACACGTTTTTACCCACCGTTCAACCGGTAGGTTAGCATTATGTTTTTACCCACTGTTTAACCGGTGGCTGGATATTACGTCACTTTTCTCTACCATCAGTAAAGCGGTGGTCAGGGCTCATAGTTTTAATCTATTCCTAATGCAGGAAAATTCGACATTCCTTGACAGAGGAAATTGGAAATTTATAAAGAGCTTTCTATTTTCTTTTAAAACAATTTTTCAGTTAAATGTGTTTCTTAAGTAAAAAAAACTGTTATCGCTATTTCCAGTATTGTTTTAAGCTATTCACCCCAAGCAAGGCGGGAGTGCCACTATCACACAAGGGGATGCAGAGAATGAGAGCAAGAGAGAGTGGTATTTGAGGCAAGGATATAGAGAAGGACGGGATCCGGATCAAGCATCAATTGGCATTGCATTTGAATAGTTGAAGATTATAGCTATCAGGGAAGCAAGTAAGAGGAAGGGAGTTCCACTGACGGGAAGTTGCGAAACGTGAAGCTATTGGAGTAGAAGAGACAGCTACATTTAACCGTTTTGACAGTGAAAAGGTGCGACTGAAATGCCGCTCTAGTGGCACGTTTAAATTCATGCAGTTTGGGAACAAGCGAAAATAGCTTGTAGGAGCAGTCACCGTGAAATTATTTGTAGAAGAGACAGAGGGAGGTGACGGCACATCTGTGAAAGAGAGACTGTAAACGAGATGCCATATCAGGGCCAATCAGATTGTATATCCGTCTCTGGATTTTGTCGGGGACCCTAAGACGGATAGTGGGGGCTCCAGACCATATATAACAGCAATATTCCATGCAAGAACGAATGGTTGATTTATAGATTTGAAGGATGGACTCGGGCGAGAAAAACCTTTTGGGACGATATTGAGAACCAAATTTTTGGCGGTAGATGAAGCTATTGATTCATTGTCATTCTTCCATCTTAAGTCAGCGGATAGTGTGAAACCAAGCAGTCGCAATGAGGTGCTCTCGTGGAGTTGAGCATCAGACATTCTAAGGTGGGAGAGTTCTCTGTGGTGAGTAATAGAGAGCAGTATTTTTTTTTTTTTGTTATTTAGGTTTTTATTTTTTAGACATTAACGTTAACCAGTCATTTCTTGCCCCAGTAAACAACAGATTGGAAGTCCTTTACAAGACCAACTGCCAGGTTAGTTTTGTCAGCGATACCAGATTTTCTATTTCGGTAAGAATAATAACATTGATGGCGGTTTCTTTCCAATTCTCTTGTTTGAAGTCGTATGGAACATCAACATCTTTATTATTTCATTATATTGCCTTCAAATTATGTGCCGTCCATATTATTTGTTGCTACTTTTCAACGTTTTCAATTGATGTGGTTTCTGTTATATGGTACAGTTTTGGTTTATGATTTTTAATGTATTTTCAAGAAGTACTAAAAAGGCTGATCCTCCCGAAGACCTTAACGCTTCAATCACACAAACGTTTTTTTTTTCTGTCCTTGAATAATAATTAATCTATTCTGCCACTTTATACATTACCTGTGACGCTGACAGATCTCTCTTATTAGAT